GAAGTCGCTTTCAACATTCAATCTTCATTCTGTGCTTTTATNACCAAAACCGGCGCACGAAAGTGCATGGTTAATGGCTGTAAAAACTGAAACCGAAACTGCCGATGTTTGGTTTTAGTTTAGTTTGTACAACCATTAACCATGCACTTTCGTGCGCCGGTTTTGGTTGCCATCTTTCGGCTGCCAATTTGGATGAACATTACGAGAAACACAGGAATAGTTGAAAATAGGATCGAAGAGAATATTGAAAATTTCAGTGGATTCATGATACAGAGAAATTGAGAAGATGCAGAAACGCCACTGTTTACGACACCCAGCCATATCACCCAGTGTCTCTAACCATCAGTTACGATCTTCTCGAGGTCCCCAGCCAGGACGCCTAACAGGACCTATGTGACCTAGTCCCAAGGTTAGGGTTTTCATACCCTCGCGCCAGGTCTTAGCTTGACCACCCTTGACTTTCTTCCACTCGGTGTCTGCTTCGGTGAACATCGCTCGTTGTGGCAACCTATTTGGAGACATGCGTAACACATGTCCCAACCAGCGTAATCTATGGAGGTCGACCAGTTGCTCCAGTGGGTAACCGCGGATACCCAAAACTCTGCTCCTAACCTCAACATTGCCCATCCGGCTGCCCCACCAGATTCGTGCAATGCTGCGTAGACAGCGGTGTTCAAACACCGACAGTCTGTCTTTATCTTGTTTTCTTATGCAGCGTAGACAGCGGTGTTCAAACACCGACAGTCTGTCTTTATCTTGTTTTCTTAATGGTCAAGTTTCTGCTCCATATAGCAGAACTGGCCGAACTACTGCAGCTTATACTCGACCCTTCACAGATAGCCGGATGTCGCGACGACGCCACGGATGTCCCAAAGAGCAAATGCCAACCGAGACTTCTGTATGCGAGCTGACACTTCATCCGTGATGCGTCCACCGGGTGAGATGCAGCTGCTCAAATAACAAAATTTATCTACCTGCTCTATTACTTCCCCAGTTAGAGTGAGGCTGGGTGCTGAACCGACCCAGTCTTGTAGTAACATTTTACACCTGGAAGATGCAAAACGCATACCAAATATGGCTACACTGGCATTCAAGTTATCCAGAAATGCTTGCAACTTACCTGCATCTTCACTTAGCAGCACAATGTCGTCTGCATTCTCTAGATCAGACAGTCTGCCACCTGGGAGTAAATCGATGGCACTATCCTCGCACGAGGATAGGGCTGTTTCCATAATCAAATCTAAAACAAAGTTGAATAGAAAAGGAGAAAGAGTGCAACCCTGACGAACACCACCTTCCGTGGTGAACTCGGGAGAAAAAGTGCCGTAAGCCCGGGCTCGACTTCGGCTATTAGTAATAAACTTCTCGGGCACACCATTCAGGGAAAAGCAGCGCCAGAGTTTAGAGCGGTCGACTGAGTCAAAAGCCGCTTTCAAATCGAGAAAAACAGAGATTATGGATCTTTGAATGCTCCAGAATTTGATGGAGAGTGAAGATATGGTCAATACAACCTCGACCGGGTCTAAAACCAGCCTGGTTCTCACGCATGCACCCCTCACGTGCGGCAGACAATCGACGGAGTATGATACCGGGGAGAAGTTTAGAGGCAATGTTGATTAAACTTATTCCTCTATGGTCTTCACAGGAGGACCCGTCGCCTTTCTTGTAAATCGGTATGATAACCGATTCACACCATTAAGTTGGAACCTTCTCCCTCTCCCACACTCAGCCCGAGAGTTTTGTTAATTCCAAAACCAAGGCTGAACTTCCGTCCCTAAAAACCGATGGGGACAGCCCGCCGGAGCCGAAAGCCTTATGCCTTTTGATATAACTTATTTATCGGGTAACCTCCATTTCAGATGGAGGACTAGCATCAACTGGCAGAATTTGCCCACTCAAGGTGACGGGTGAAAGATCAGATGTCAATGGGGGCCAACTGAACTGAGCCTTGAAGTGTTCAGCCCATCCATTAAGACGGCGTTGCCCATCGTGAAACAATGTGCCATCAGATTCCGTTATTAACTCACTTACGCCTACTTTCCTGGGGCCTGTATTCCTAATTAGACGGAAAAGATTGCGACTATTGCTGATAGCCACAGCCTTCTCCATCTCTCTACATTTCTCTACCCACCACTTCTCGCGGTCATTCCTCAGACTGTTGATCAGCTGGCGTTTAAGGGACTTGCGGGCTGTGTCATATGTGGCATCCGGAGGCACGATTCTGCGGGCTTCCACCAGGGCAGCCGAGGTCGACCAGATCCATCGTTTGTGTTTTCAACCTGCGCTAGGGTCCGACGTTATTTTTAATGATATTTGCATGGCTTCTTTGATTTGCTTCATTGAGTGTTCATTGAGTCCTTCGACTAGCGATTGAACTGACAGGCGACCGGAGAGCTCCGCTTCGAAGGCCGATTTGCAGCCATCGTGGACGCTGTATCGTGGGTATCCGTTGTCGGTGGCTTTTCTGCCGTTCTTTGCCAGGCGTAAGGAGAACTTGGCTCGTAAAAAGGCGTGGTCTGTATCTACAGCTGTTGAACAGTAAGAGCGGCAGTCTTGAATTGATCCCCTCCAGCGGTAACTGATGGCGATTTGGTCGATCTGGATCCAGCGTTATGAAGAGGTTAGCGGTTTCCATGTAAGACGGTGTCGTTTCTTGTGTGCGATGTTCGTGTTTGACATGAACAATCCGTGGTCCGTACAGAATTGAAGTAGGCGATCTCCGTTGTCCGTCCGGTTGGCTGGGATTGCATGTGGTCTACCTTTCTGATTCGTCCAGGGATCCCACTTGAGCATTGAAGTCTCCGGTGACTACTACGACGTCCGTTGATTGAGCACTTTGGAGTAGTTGAGGAAGATCCTGGTAGAATTCATCCTTCAATCACATGCACTGCAATCGGCCGGTGCATACGCCGATACAACGAATAAGCATCAACGCTTAGTTCTGTAGCTGTTGACGCGTACTGAACCGTTGAGACGTACAGCGCACAATCGGCTACTGACTGGAATCCAGTCAAGAGACGAGCGCTCAGCCTTGGCACTCAGCGCAATCCCGACACCAGCAACACCGCGAGCTTCGGATGCCGAATCGCTTGACACAAAAGGTGAAGCGTGAGGTTGAGGTTGGATCAGGAGAATGCAGAGAGATAATGAAAAGGGGGTCTTGTATGCGTGTTTCGGAGACAAAACATACATCTACATTGAAAGTTTCAAGGGTGACAGCTAAGGCAGCTTGTTGATTGATCTGATAGGGCAAGCGGACTTTGAACGCGGCTAAGTGAAAAGGGGATTTTGGCTTTAAAAATCCTAACTTCTGATTGTCTGGCTTTGCTTGCAAAACACTGATTGATATTCGATGGGTGGCGTAAACAGGATGCATCTGGGATTATTTGGGGTTGAGAAGAAGAACTAGACAGATGGGAACGAGGGTTTTCCAAATGGTTGCCTAAGACTTTAGGGCACGGCTTACTTCGCGGGTGCCCACACCGACGATGGGGCTTTTCTTTGGGAACCCTAACCGGAGCCTTTGACTCAAAAGTCTGACCCACAAGGCAGTGGTACGGAAATCCAACACGGGAGCGTAAACGAAGCACCCGTGGGAGCCTCTATAGACCTGTCACGCAAGGCCTTTGAATTTCGGTAAAGTTTGTTGTTCGCTGGTGCGTTGATTGTCAGTCCGCTTTTCGGGATCGGCTCTTAGCCTCATGCACCCAATGAGACAAGAGGAACGTGGACGGGACAGCACCTTATTGGCTGGGGGGCTGCTCAGCTTGGGCGGGCGGTAGCTGTCCGATGAAATGCGAAGACTCCTCCCACCGTTGAGAGGAAGCCCCAGGTACCCCGCTCCTACGTCCATCTAGCGGGGTATTTTTTGACCGGTAAACTGCCCCTCACTGTGTTTATTTACTGGAGTAACCTCTCCAGGGGCGGGTGTGGATAGGAGGAAGCCAGAAGGTGCTCAAGCAGCTGGCCTTGTGTGACTGAGCTTTGTCTGGTCTCTACCCGCAGACCTTTCAGGCATGATTGAATCTACGGCTGTGAGAAGCCATCCTGTATAGCTCGCAGGGTCATGGAGGCACGCAAGCCATCACACCACGTCAAGGTGCAGTCTCGTCGTGATGGGACTGCCGATGTATTCGATGTATAACATGTTCACGTATGATTCACACTAAATCATTCATCACATGCAATGAATGGGACAGTCCGAAAAATGCTTTTCGAATCCTTCTGTATCAAAACATCAGCCAACCACACCAGGTCGCCGTGGCAGCTGCCACTCGAAGTTACCAAGTCAACTAGTGTAAGCACAGTGAGTTGCCCGTCAGTATCGAGCTACCATTGTGAATGTTACTCGTCCACAACAGTGGTTACACCCCGTGCGCCTACAACTGATTCGAATCTTGTTCACATACTTTTACCTTCCCTATCTTTGAATCTCTCTTCTAATGTGCTTCGAAACCGATTACACATTCGAATGGTGTATGCACGCAGCTGTGGCAGCGGTGGCTGGTCCCGGAGCACTCTGTGATCGGGGAAAATTATGTTAATCTCGTGAAAATAAGAAATAATGGAACAAGTTGCGGAATATTTCGGGAGATTATTGAGCAGCGTTAATAGTGTCCCTAGGAAAAACCATATCATGCATCGTTGCTAATTTCTACCTGAATTATCTTCAGTTCACTCCAGAAAAGTGATCAGAGTCACACTTCGAGAGCGTGTGCACTTGGTTCATGTAAATTAAGTCTTCCGTATAGCACCGGAAATGGTATGGGTCATATATATGAGGACACCGTGGGGAAATAGAACTCCCGCAAATTCGGTTAGCTTCATTTTCCCCGATCTCTTACAGAACATGGCTTATCGACGTGCACGCATGTAAAGGACTAACAAAAAATGCAATGGGCTATATCTATAGAGTAACAATGCATTATGATATCGATGGATATTGGAGAGATAACAACATGGCAACCATTGATGCATTGATGAAACCTATGTTTTCCAACTCACGGTGGGCGATGTCGGAAGACGGACGTGTTGCACAATACTTCGAATTCGATAACTGAGAATTCTTCACCTCCGTAGGATACAGATGCTTCAGGTGTGGTCCCGGACCATTTACCTGGGATTATATCCGATTCATGACGGGCTCGGATTATGTACAATCCGGGTTTTGCTTCAACCGCGTTTGTTGGAACAGTGGCTTTCACGTCAACTGGGATCCATGAGAGGGCAATCTCATTAAAAACCGGTTCGCACACCATTCTGAAAAATGCAAAATTCTCTTTTCGATTTGGTTACACTAAGAGCCACTGAAACGAAGAGAAAGGAAACTTACCAAATCGTTGTTCGGTGCATTGTTTGTTTGCTTCTCACATCTAATTATACTGTTTCGAAGTTGCCTGCATCAGCACACACCTACTACTGAGTAATGGTTATTTGCGCCTAATCACCTGAGCTTATTCGGATTTGCATCATCACACACCATGTAGTTCACTTGGAGAGGCACAAATTTCATTTTCACTCACTGACTGTGCACGTGGGCTGTCGCCGAAGTACGCCAATAGTTTGAACACAACTGGTCAAGGTCTTTGGTTGACTCGTGATTGGTTTATTGCACTACGTGCATTCTTATTGGTTCTTAACCAGTCGTTCACATTCGGTCTGACCGATCGATGCAAAACAGTGGTCATGTGACCCTACACTCGAAGGCTATCAGTCACGGAAATACGTTATGATGTGTATTTGGAGTGTGATCGCCGGTGTCTTTTATCGGTGACAGCCCACACACAAACAAAAATTCATTTATATGGATTGATGCAATTCAGGAAAATGGACGACCGTTATTTAAATACAGGCAAACATGTAAATAGCAAAGTTAATCGAAACGATGTATGGTTTTTGGAATAAACCGAGAGGTCAAGGGTCTACACCTGTTCGATGAGTAATAAACGGTACTATTTTCTATAAAAGATGTGCACGAAGCATAGTAAATGCGACATAATCCGCATCACTAACTCCGTGAACCATGTAAGGATGGCTGATATGATGTAACCCATTCCAAAACACTTCCTATGCGTTCGAAAAAAGTAAATAAATAGGTTTTAAATAATAATCACATAGACGCTCAACATGAAATGTCAAAGTAGAATACTATTTACTTACATTTGGAATAACTAATGCTTTTTGTGAATACTGAGACAAAACGCAGTGAACAATAGTGGATCAGGGAGCAGTAGAGTAGTGTTGGTTTGTACAATAACTATCACACAATCCGTAGCAGATTGATGCAATGATTGGTCGTGATTTATTGGCCAACCACGTCCTTTATAGTTGGTATGTTTGGCCGAGACGTGTGACCGCCACGGGCGTCTCTTTTCTCTTGACCCTGTAAACACAATCAGTGTTTATTATTTTATCATGATGTGATACGCAAATATAAGTGGGTAAATTGGACGTTTAAGTGACGTGGTGATACACCAACCAGATTGCGTCCTTGACACTCAGATTGGTCGACCAAATTACAGGTTTGTGATTGGTCTCCCACTCATCCAATCCTGAATCGACTCGGTTAGGGCTTGACGAAAGTGATTATGGTGTGACGCGAATCGGTTTGCCTTCTGACAGGTTCTATAAGCCATCTTCTAAGCTCTCTTTCATTGAAGGTGAATTTGTGAGTTCTACAATGTGGTCTCGCGTTGGATTAGCATGTCTCAATCAGGTATTCAGTCCAGATTAGAGGTCATACATCACGTTTCCACATCACCTTGAGATTTATCCCTTTGCACGTTGTAAATGATCGATTCGATAGTCTCGCACCAGAAGATTTAGATCACCGTCAAACATTCTGCGACAAGCATCACTTCGCCTGTTGAATTGCTGTTCCACTCTGATGTGTCGAAACACCGCCTCTTCCGTTTACGTTTGATAGCATCGCTTTGTACCCGAACTTAACCTTGAAACAGGACCTCAGCTGGGGATACTGCGTTTGGCATTTGTAAATGCGTGGTCTTGCTATATGCTTTTGTGGACAAAAGTATCGATTTTGTGTCCCATAGTGAATCCCCTTTAATCTTTTGATAGTCAGTTTTTCGTTTAGTAAACCATTTTTTGGTCTTGTACTTCCAGGTTAATACAAATCTGATTCAAATGAGCTTTCAAAAGTCGAAGGTCGTGAATCCAATACAGATCAAGTATGTTCAAGTTTGAACGGTTCGCGGCATACAGAACAGGACAACTCATGGGCTGCTTGAAAGAGGGGAATGCTGAAAACAAATGTGAACCCAGCAGTACACCAGTTTTCACAGTTTCTTGCCGCCTAGACAAAAGAGAAATCCCATTCAGTACCTTCTTTCGCGTGCACGAAAGATATGCTCCGAATCCAAATTCGCACGTAAACTTGATCAGATTAAAGCATTCTAAGGGGAAACGGATACCCTGGTAGATTCATCGATAGGAACATAGAAGGAAAGTTGGAACACTAGCTCGCTCAGCAAGCCCCGAAGAAGAAGCTGTTTACCGATATGTGATTCAAAGGAGACGACTTGTTTGATCTAATTAGGAGACGTTTGGTGCTTGCTATGAGAGGAAATTTTAATGCAGCCAGTTTTTCATGTGCATTCACAGGCTGACCAACAATGATAATATCCAATAAAGACAGTTTACCTATGCGGGCCTCATTGATGGTCATCTATTTCTTCAGCTGTGTTTGTAACGCAACCTACATTGGCCGAACGGGGAGACAACTGTCTCAGCGGATTATAGAGCACCGTCCACACTGACTTCAACATGGTGGCCTTCAAAGTTTTCTATAGAGTACCACCCCATTCATCCAAGTCGCTGCCTCTTCACGCCCTTACCACAGCGGAAGCGGTCTGCATTCGTTTGTTCGCATCCAATCTATGTGCACAAAAGAGATTGGCCCATGCCATTCAACTGCCGTGACCGAAGATCGATTGAACACGGATGACGCAGCACAAACTGATTGAAGTGTTGTGGTGACCCAAGTGCGTGAAAAACTTCGAATCACTCATTCCCCCATCCCTCTCCCTTTCAATCAATCATCATGAAGTCTGAATGACCAGGTGCCTATTCTGCTTCAGCATTCTATTTCCTTATTTTATATGTACAAGCTAGAAGATGAATCAATGAAAACAATTGTTCACCTTTGAACGTGTGTTCTCACATACAGAACAGCAGTAGCGTGTTCAGGGGCAATAGAACGTTCAAATGAGGCAGATTTATTGATGCGCGGTCTGTTGATTTTGGCCTCGTTTGTGACACGCTTGACAGACACGCTGGATATATATGGGGCAAGTCTGACAAAACGCCACACTTCGCACCTACAATCAGGCTGATGGCGGTCTTGAATGTTCCTTCCTTTTTTTGAAGCTCAATTTTTTTGTTACTCGTTCTTGGAGATTGTCTGAAACACATTTGGACAGGTTTTGGATTGGTTTGCCAGCATTGTCATGGAGTGCTTCACGCTAGTTGGTAATAGTCTGTCTGGAAGGTCATTTTCTGGTCCTCCGCCAGTCTGCTAAAAAATCTGGTGCGTGTATCTACATTTTGTGAAGACTGAGGGCCACATACAAATACGAGGCACTTGAATTGGTCAGTGACTAAAGAGTTGAATAAAAACGTGATTGATCTCTTTCCTTACAAATGTGAACCACTCACAAGCTACTGAGACGCACGTAGATCACACCAACGATTTAAACGTGATTTCGTGTAGATCGGGCAACGGAATCTCGGGATCAAACTGGTCAATGAAAAAAATACTGCTGGCAGAGTACAGTGGAGAGCATAAAATGAGGAACTTTCGTATTCCTCAACATAAACACCCCATTGAATTTATGTAAAGTTACGAACAATATGGCGATTACAGAAAGCCGCTTGCCTATATTTCGGAATGCATCTACATGCAGGATCCGGAATGGTGCGATCCATCCAGCAATTGACTGGTCGAAATCCTACTGAACGATGTGTCCAGGAAAACCTTCTCCATTGTTATCCTTTAACTGCCTCTGTCTGGTTGAAGGGTTCTATGGTGATCGTGTATAAGGTGAACATTCTTTTGTCTTTATATGAACGATTGCCTTTGTACAATTACGGCGCGTAATATAATTCGACTTCGAATATTCCGGTGTTTTATTTCATACTGCGCATCAGTTCGATTAGAGCTTAACTACACGAATTTATTGCGATTCGTATTTCAATACCTAGTGCAGATCATTACAGTTGGCGTCGCGGTGAGCTTCATTTCATTATGGACAAAGGCAACTTGGGAATTCTTAATACTCATTCGAATTCACGTTAAGTAGGAGATTATTTGAAACATTTCGAGATTTGATGTCTCACCCGCAAGAGTCTCTATGCCGAGAGGAAGACGACACATTTTATTATTGCTGTTGGAAAGGAAGCTTATACACAGATTAAAAATTTGGCATTCCCAGAGTCACCAATACAACTGAAGTACGACGAATTGAAGGATCTGTTGCTAAAGCAATTCCAGGCAGTCAACTTCGAGTCAGCTGAGCGAGCGAAATTCCATTGCCTGGCTCGTGATCTTAATCAGTCCGTTTGAGACTTCATTTTTTAGTTTCAAACTTAGGCGTCGCACAGTTGTTTCAAAGGTCAGTTGTAGACCCAGTTCCCTGATAGACGAATTGATGGAATCAACTATTGTGAGCTACAGCAGCAGTTATTGTTGATTCCAAACTGCACACTTCAAGCCGCATTGGTGGTCTGTGAACAATATCAGGATGTACGTGCGGCCGTACAACAGTAGCCGAAAGTATTGTTCATTCGCAAACCTTGTTCAGTGCTTGAAGCTTAACAGACGCGGCAGTTCAAATTATCATCAATGTCATGAATCATATTTCGACATCCACACAACCTGCAAACAATTACATCCGCCACTGGAATCCTTGCAAATCATGCGGTGGGCGACATTCCCGATTGATTAGCAAATTTTGCAATGCCAAGTGCCACAATTGGGGTAAGTCTGGGCATATCCAGTCTGTTTGTCGAAGCACACGTAACTGTTTGACACAAAACTCAGTCCCCGATTCATGCTTGTCTGCCGATTTTCAGTCTCTTGCCTTACCAATTAACATCTACAAAAAATCGCAACAAATTACCCGTACATTCACAGCCAATCACTGTCTTTGTCATTCATTCATCATTGACACAGCGTGAATTCGTTTATTTCAAATACTGTTCTTCAGCGTTTGAAACCACGTGTGTATCTTGACTCAACTGA